AAGGTTGATAATGAACCAATAAATATAAAATGAGTTATAAATAATACGTCTAAGTTATGATAATGCAGTGCGTATTAATTGTAAATATTCTGTAAAAGGTCTGACAATTTTTAAATTAATTTCACATTCATATGAATATAAAATGTTTGATTTACTAAATTTAATTTACATGTGTTTAAGTTGAAGGCAATTATAGATTTATGGAATTAAGTGACAATGTGTGCTATATTTTCACTCATAAATTCATATTAATTCATATTAATCGATGTACTTAATATATCTTATATAAATTGCATACATGTCAATATACATATCAAACAGAATAGGGTATTAAATTGTGAAGAAATCTGAATGTAAATGGACCCAATAATATACTGTATAATGTAATTTATGAACCAAATCTAAGTTAACTTCCTGTAAATCATCATTTTTTGTAATTATGGTGAATAGGTATTATCCTACAGGCAGGCAAAATGTTAAAATATTTTCCAAACACCAAAAAAACTCATTATATACACTATCCTAAGTAGTTAAAGTACTGGTGAATTACTCCGTGGGAAAATTTAACAGATTGGAGTGCTTTTAATCGTCCTAGTACAGTATTTTTTAAAAAATTATCCAAAGATCAAATCTAAAATTCAACAAATTAAAAAAATACAGCTCAATATAGACTAGGGCATGCACTAACCTAGCTCTCTAAAAACAAAATAAACAATTACGATTGATAACGAAGAGTAGTCGATCATTTCTATGAAGAGGCAGTACCTCTTGATATGGTTTTCTAACTCTTCTATTAATCTATGTCAAGTGTGTAACACTCAAAAGTCTGTAATGATAACAAATTTTAAAATCTGCCATTTCCAGTAATCGTAGGCTGGGTATCCTCATCTGTTCTCGCCTAGCTGACTCCAGTCTGGCTAACCTGAGTGGTTCTAGTCTTAAGGACAGCTAATGATCTCAGGCTCAGGAGATAGAGATCATTTTGTAGGATATGTGGCACCATAGAGGTGCCTTACTGACAGAATTCTCTAATAATGTTAAATGCTTGATCTCTTTGTTCAGACTAATTTTTACAGGTATCAAGATACAGAATAGCCTGCTTGCCAAGCAATCGTAGTGCATCATAACTTCTGTTAATTAAAGGTATTTTTGCAGAAAAATTCATTTTTACATTGTCAATGTTCAGCATTATTTGTAGTTGCTAAACTGGATTTAAGCCTACACTCTGTCATATGTAGTTTTTAGGCCAAAAAAATGACATACTGTGATACCACTTAAGTATCAGTAGGCCTATATTCATTCACATTAAAGTATTAAACACTATAATAACTGATTATTTAAACTTTCATAAATAAGAAAACATGAAAATCTAAACCATCAGGTACTGTAACAGTACTTTGCAAAATCAAGCTAAGCAGAGTAAAATAAATACTGTACTTTTATAATATACAAAATGTTTATGTTACTGACTATCTTTTCTACTACTAAATATATGGTAAAGTATCAAAAGACATAATATATTTATAGTAAAAAATAAGAATTAATGATGAAATTTATAATGACGAAATCATTTTATTGGTTATCAAATTATTCAAGATTCATCAATAATAAGTTAGCCTACACATTTTTCTAACGGATGTAAAGTACTCACAAAATAAAAGCTAAAGGGGAATCCTTTTGTTCAATTTACTCTTTACAATAAATGTTTTATAAACCATCATACAGAATGGCAAAGAAATACTGGTACCATAATAGTACAACCTAAAAGTTTGCATGCACTACATTCTCCTTAAATAGATCTATTTATAACTACATGCATGTTTAAAACAAGGTGATCAGAAATATACATCACACAGTGGTAAATCAATAATTCTTCTCCATAGTGGTATGCATTTTAGAAACAAAATTATAGGTAGTTATTTTCATCCAAAAAGTAGACTTTGTGAATATCTTATTTTTTGATATAAAATTACTTTTTAAAAATTTCATAAATTGTAATTCTGTTATCAAAATTTATTTTATTAAATGATCTTGTTTTTATTAAGATCAAATAAATTCATTACAAATTCGGAAATATCTGTAGAATGAACTGAACTTATTATTTTTCAAGTGAATTCATCAAATATTAATATTGGAATGATAGTAGTTAGTATGTGTTAATCATACAAAAATAGATTACAATTTGAAAATATTTATACAAAAATATGAAAATTAAAAAATTATTGTTTCTCTTGTTGTGAGCAACATTATAACTGCTTAAAATAGAGATATTAAAATATGAAGGTAGAAATTGTAGCACCTTTATTTACTCAAAACACCTGCTCATGATTAACAATACAATGACATCTGGAGCCAAGGCTATTCCATTTATTAAGCAACACCCCTTTGTCAAAATCTAATCAAATAAATATCACCTATAGACTGAGAGTGCATGTTCAAACTTGACGATGGTGAAAAAAATATGCAAATGTGTAATAAAAGATATGGAATGTGGAATAGAAGTCAAACAGCACTGGCAAACCCCTAAGTAACCTATTAATAAAAGATACCTTCCACTGATGGACATTAGAAAGAAGAATATTAAAAATGGAAAGATGGTGAAAAATAGTTTTTGTGTGATAGATTTCCCTTAGGGTTCAGAATTTTCTTTGTTAGCTCACTAAACAAAGGGTTTATTCAAGCAAGTATTGATATTGATAATACAAAGCATTCAATACCACATAGGTTTATTTACTTTTTGCTGCTCAATTTTACAAACACACATATTTATGTATAATTATTTTTAAATGAAGATTATTTTTTTTCAGGTCACAATGGTAATTAAGTCCACTTAACAAAATTGACAATACAAAAAAAAAGAAAAAAAAAACGGTTGAAAATTACTGTGGTAAATTTCAATTTATATTAAAATCATTAAAATTATAGTAGGGATAAAGATTCGTAACCTTTAGAAGACATTGATTGTAAGAGATTACCGATTTTAAATTTTTTTTAAATAAATAATTATTATGTTAAAATACCTATTAAAAAAATTTGTTTTCTTTGGCACAAAAATACTCATACATGGCAGAAGCTATTGAACTATTGATTGGTAAATTATTTAATAATAGATACATATCTTCCCAATTATTACAATTATTTAAACATTGTATTAACTATGTCACTATTCCAACTTAAAACAACAGTGTTGGGACCACTACCTTAATATATAATGCGTATTTATAAATGTGACATAGTTTAACCGTAACCATATTTAAATTACCAAGTGAGATAAAAAAAAATTATAACCACTGGAAATTGTTTTTGCTATCATTTTTTTTATAAATAATTAACAGGCTCTGGAGGAAAAATATTTTTTAATATGTTGTAAAAAGAATTTTTAAGACACTAAAACAGTGTTTGAACAGGGAAATTTAAATATTATTATATTTACATCTCCCTGGTTTAAAGAACAACTTAAGAATGATATTTGTCCATATGAATTTTTTCAATAACTTAGAGATAGTTTAAAAAAAGATAAGATTTTTGAATACAGTAGTTAAAAACTGGGGGGGGGGGGAACTTTAAAATGTTTTGTCTGACCTACAATACATAGATTTATGATTTTAACAAAGTTACTAAATTTCAAATATTCATATGAATATATGTTAAAAAAATATTAATATCATTAAATTAAAAATCAATCAAGAAAATAAGGATTGTTGAAAACATAGTGTACATTCGATATAGATTCCTGAATCATTTGATAAAAAATAATGACGAAAGGTGGATGTATGGTCCACTTGAGTTGCTAATTGATGGCATAGTAAAGGGAAGTGCATAGGACATAAATTGTCTGTATTTTGCATCAGCAAGAACAAAAGAATCGGAGCCGTTTTTAGGTTTGTCCATTTATTTATATTTTTAACGTTTCAAAACCATTTCTGAGACTTAATCAGTCTGCTTAAAAGTTAGTGAATAGACAAAGGAGTTCCTGATATCAAAGTCTTTGTGTTACCCCACAACACCTGCATGGTGAAAAAAAGGCCCAGGCAGATGGCTGCTACTGGTACCTGGTCTATAATTTTATGTGATGTGCCTATGCCTATTCCCTTTTTATTCATCGACTACATTAAATGATTGATCTATAGAATTTGGTTTTTCAAATTGATCTGTTTATAATTTGCTTATTTAAAAAAATCACCCAGTAACACTAAAGTGACAACAATTATTCACAATAGCAAATTATTCTTCTATATTGCAAGACCTACAATAATTAAATATTATATATATATATATAATCAACACCAAAATAAGCTAAGGCCTAGCTCAAATTCATATTGCTTTATTTATCCTGTCTTTATAATTTATTATAGATTAATTGGAGACACTAAACGATGTGTAAACATAACAAAGATAATGACTCAATAATTATTGTAAATATGATATTCAATAACCAAATAACTGGAATAGGACTGTAATTAGTTAGGCCTCAACTCTAGGCCTATGCGATCCCAGTATTTATAGTAGTATGTGATAAACTCCTCTAACCACGGCCCGACCATGGCACAAGAGACGAGGGTATCACCAAAGAATATTTTTATCAATCCCCACTTGATTTCTGCTTGAGTAAAAAGTTTGAACGATGCACAAAAGCGATAAATTATTATATTTAAAACATATTGCAACATGTAAAATTTACTTTTGTAGTTTCACATTCGTGTGGTGTATTATTTCTTTATGCTACACAGAACAAAGAACACAAACTAAACTATTACTCTAGAATAAGAGAGAACCAAATGATGATACCTGGACTGACAGATGTCCTTACGGTCGGTCATCATCTGTTGTAACTGTACACAAACAAGTAATTCCTCTTTTGTGAACGCCACCGAGAGAACACCGTCGAAAGTAAACATTAATTTTCTCAGCCTATATTGCATCCAAGAGCAAAAACCTGCACATGCATATACACTCCAATATTAGATCTATCTAGTTATGTAATAGAAATAAAAACTCACGATTTTTGCGTTGTGGATTTGCCTGTTTTCTACGAGTATACCTGGATAGGTCGGCCATACTAAAAATACACACGCGACACAGCGCCAGTGAATTCCATGAATGAAAGCTGTCGATGCGACTAGTTCAGCAACGGAAACAGCGAGGTTTGCATATTACGTCATCTCTCACTCTAGGTTCAAAACCACGTGGGCACTTTGTTTACGTGCAATAATGGGTTCACCCAGGGGCGCCTAAAAGCGGTCGATGAAAGTTAGGAGATGAAAAAGATCCAACTGTTGTATATTACTGTATAAAACACTGTAGGCCTACAATACATGATTGTCAGTGATAATGATATTAGTAGTAGATCTCATCACTGTTATATAAATCGCTAAATTGCGATGCGCATGACCTAGGGAAATAGTGATTAGCGTTAGGATCCGTGGTGACGAACTGGTTAAAATGTAGACCTTTAAAGTCCGGTACTATTTTTTCAAACAGACCAAAGCAAACTAAGCGTCAGTGTTTTTTTTTTAAAGTACCGTACACTTTTGAGCTTCTGGCAAATGAAAGCACATGCTGTAACTTGCGTTAGCGGTCGACTCAGTTATATTTTTTTCGATACTGCTTCTTTAGGTTGACAATGTCAGAGTGTGTCTTCAACATTTATTGGGCGATTTTAGTGTCAAAATTATCTTAAAAACGCAACAAATTTAATGTATACGTATACATATGAATGTATCGGCGATAATATTTATTTAGTCGGCCTAGATATGCACACACGCACGTGACTGTTGTCAATTCATTGAAAATTGTCACATGTTTCTTTACGAACAATTCTGTTGATCACAAAAATGTCGACTCGTTGGTGACACAGTAGACCTAATTGTTTTTTACTAATTTCCAGATTTATTAGCTCAGTGTGGGTCTATTAACAAAGCATTGTTTTTTCTATGTCAACTTTAACATGCTTTAACATAGTACGGTAGTAAATGAAAATGTGGACTCATTTAGATAGGCCTATTAGAAATATAATACCCGTGATATGCAGATTGAAAATTAACACGCCTCAATAAGAGTAAGTTGCTATAGACCTGGTCTCGACCTTTAAATATGCCATGGTAGCCTAATCAATTATTTTGCGTAAAAGTATGTAAATTAATGAGAAAATGGAATTGTTTTGGTTTGTGTCTCATTGGATGTTAACTTAGCCCTAACGTTAATTCATTTCAACAGTGCGCCACACCCGATGTCAAAGATTCATCATTGGGGCCTATTTCTAAAATGGCAGTACTCAAAATATTCAAACTGATTCAGTTTGAATAAAATCGGCAAACTTGTTACCATCTCTCAGGGGAAGAATTCCAGGGATACCGTACGGATTATTCCAAAGGGGTTAACATTTCACGGGGGGGGGGGGAAGAAAGAGAGAGAGAGGGAGATGTGGCCGTGTGACCGTGTCAAATTTCTCTAAACAATGACTTAACTTATTATATCATTAGAAAGATCAACGTTTTTGCTCACAAAAATATATTTATTTAAATACTGTACGTTGCGTATGGGTGCGCGGGGGGAACATGTCCCCAAAAAATACTTTCCCCTACCCCAGACGCTACCCCACCCCAAAAATCACGCTCATGTAGTTAAAAATAATCACCTCAAACCTTATTTTGCGACCTAATCATTGATCCCCCACTTCAGATTCGCAACATATTTTCTTCGATAGATTTCTGGATGGAAATTATTAAAATTATCCATTTAATTCAGCTATTCAAATTTGTAATATAATTTTTGAGATTTTCTCCCGATTTTTCTTTGGCAGACAGCGCATCTGTGAATCAACGATCCCGAACGGAACCTCCCCATACTGACACCCATAAGACACACCACTGGATGTAGGCCTTGTAGGCTTGTCCTATCGTTGTAAAATATTGATAAAACAAATTGAACATATTATATCCGGGGTACATGAACATCATTCATGAGAATACTCCGGGAATAATTAGTACGGTATTCAATGATGTCGGTGCTTTCCTGTTACTTTTTGTAAACCATTTATGGTATTTTTTCTGTCACTGATAACTCTGACCAATAGAAATCACGGCATAATCTTACCAACCAAACAAAAGACTTTCGACTTATAATAAAAAAATGATTAACTAAATCCTCTATTTTCTTCCTCCATGACTTAATTAACTCCTTTTGAAACGACAGCAATTGACCATCCAACACACCTTTGTTTACACTCAGGAATTCCCACTGTTTTCAATTTCATTGATCATCCGACCGTCATCTGAGCTTATCAGTTTCAAGCTAAAGAAATATTTTTTTCTCTTTTCTTTTAAATTATTTTAAAAAGGAAGTGAATAAATGTTGATTTGACTGATTTATTGATAGTAAACTCAATGTACTGTACATTATTCATGAATACACTTTCAATTAACTTAGAAATTAGAATGAGAAAGAAATTTCCCCACCACTTGACGTGACAGATAGAATATCTGTATACCGGTAGTCTTTATATAGGCCAACATTCTTTCTGCATGGTTGTCTTTTAATACTGTTTAAGGGTTTTTATTTTGAAATCGATCAGTTTCTGGATGGAAGTTAATCAATTATTTGGTTCTTTAAAATGAGCTATTTTAAATTTTATTAATTATTATTATTATTTTTTCCCCCTTTTTTCGACATAGGGCTACTGTAATATCTTTATAGTGTGAACTTCTTTCCGTGTAAGTGATTGGTGGTAAAAAGGGGGCCGTGATCTAGAGCTATACGGAAAATGTAGTGCTGTATTTTCTCCGTGTGGTTGTTAAACTATAATACTACTGTAAAATGTTCGTACCGGGTTCCTTAAACTTCTCTTTCCCCAATCGGACACCATCCCTGTATTTCTGAATCTAGTTTTCGGGGTTGGACTTTATTATAGTATTATATTTTTTAAGTTTATTTATTATTATATTATTTCCACATTCCAATGGTTAATTCTGGCCAAACCAGGGCAACCCTTCATTGTCGATCAGTTACAAGGATAGGGGGTCAGACCCCCGAGTCCTCCGGATGCGCCCCTGCCTCAGTGTTCTTATAACAAATTGTTTCTCTAATCCTCAGTTGTTACCATAGCCTAAAGGGTTGCAAAATATAGGCCTATTTAGACTCTTTCTCTTGATGTCTGCTGATGTGGCATACGTAAATGTGAGAGTGGGAAGCACATGCCTGACAGGTGGCGCTATGACGTGTCCTTTTATGTTCTTTATAAAATCGAATACTACGATAATTTTTTTTTTGCATTATTTAGTATAGCTTGTATGCTATTGATCTACTTTAAAATTAAATGACGTAGCCATGGGTAGTAATTTAGACATCTATTTGTTTGGTATGCAAATTTATTTTATCATTTTTTTCAATATTGATATCTTTAAAACACCTGGAATGAAACGCAAAGCTATGCATAATAATTAGCAAGATGGCGTAGTTGTGTTTAGAACATCGGGATTTATAAAAGAAAACAGTAAAAATGAAAGTGTTTACAGTGTTTGACGAGGGTGAGTTTTAATATGATTTATTGGTATAGGTATAAGATGTATAAAGTGTGGATTTAATGTTAAAATTGCTATTAAGAAAGCAGTAACAATGTAGATTTTGCCCAGCCTCCTCTATTTCCGATAGTCGATGCCGTGTAACGGTGTGCATGCATTCAATGTTTTGTTCTGCTGCCACCCTTCCTTTTGATCCATGGATTACGATAATCGGCGGCCTAGGCCTAGACTGGGATAGGCCTAGCCAGAAGATATCAAGGTGGAACTTGGAGTGTTTTCTTCGAAATTAACTTCGGTTTCCACCTATTGGTGCCATGTGGTCCTAGATTCTAGGCTAGAAATATGTTTTTATCGTAATTTGCTTTTGGAAATTCAGCTGTGATTGCTGAGGCTAGCTAGGCCTCTTGAGTCCGAATCCAGAGTCTTAGACTGACGGTAGGCTTGCCATTTTTACGTACACTCGCGTCGGTCTGACCCTGGACATGCTAGGCTTGGGTAGCTAGGCCTAGGCCTATGCTTAGTTCAGTTTCACTTAGATAATGGTGGTAGAGATCGTCATTCAAAATGTAATCTGTTAGTTATACTTATAAATGGTTTATTATTGTTGTAAATTTGCTAATTTTGGTATCAACAATGGAGTTGCAGATTATTTGTTGATAAACATATGATTATGATGATGAACCTAGGCTAGCTATATAGGCCCAGGTTCCATTACTCTTCTGGAGTGCCATCCATTTTGGCCGCGAACTAGTTTGGTCGTGATGTATTTAACGTCTAGGCTTATGATACCACCAGTTACCACTGAGAATTTTAAGTTTGTTAAAGTTGGAATTACGCTTGTTCCTTGTATGTTATGCCTGACCTAGGCTTCCCTTGTCGATTTGACATAAATTAAATAAAACGTTTTTTTGCATTTCCCACAGTATTTTTTTTTAAGATCAAAGGAGGTTGGAAAAATATAATCATGCTCTTTCACACTTTAGTAAATTGTTCTGCAATAGGTATCTTCGACTCAGTGCAGGAAAAAATAAAATTTATTGCCAAAAAAAAAATAGTAGATGGATGTTAATTGCAAACAAGTCTACAAACAATTGATATATAAAAGGAATAAATAACACTAATTTTACTTTTAATGATCCAGTAATGTATACAAATGTAATTAAATCCTTTTTTAGCCTATACCTACTGTAGAGTAATTTCAACCTTATATTTGGTGAAAGATGTTAACAATTTATTTAATTTGTATTAACCTTACCAGGAGAGATTTTATGCCAGAAATGCTAGTGGTGAATTTATATTTTTCTCAAATTTCCTTTTTTCTAAAAGTTTTGTTTTTCAAAATATGAATAATATTATTAAAAAATATCAGTCAGGTAATGGTTTGTGAAACAAGGCATACACAATTCTCACCTTAGGTCTAAACTATTAAAACTAGTGAAGAGCAGTAATTGTATAAAACCTCTGAATTTTTAATTAACTTTTCCACTGGATGAATAAGTGGTTGGGTGGGAAGGTGTTGACTTTGCCTAATCCCTAAAAAGTTTTATAATTTTTAATCCCAAGTGTCTTGGAGGCGACCTCAGCTGCCAAGCTAGATTGACTATACCATCGGGAGACGACTATAATGCCTAAATGAACATTGTTTTTTGTCATTCCTTGTGAAGAAAACTGACACTCATTCTAACCTGGTGTACAGAGTTTGAACCCATCACTGCAAACAAGGCTCCGCCCAGTTACTAGCTAACAGTTTGG